ACCCGGGGTTGCTCCCAAGATTCCATCCATAAAACAGGGGGGCCTTTTTTTTTTTTCGATTCCCCTTCCCCCATCCAGCCCCCCCTGTCAAAGAGAAAAAAATTGGCCCCCCCCCCCCCCCCGCCCCCCCCCCCATTCCCCCCCCATTCCCCGATGCCTACACCCCGGGGCCTCCTCCTCCCGTGTTTTTTTCGCCGTCCAGGAGGATGACCTATTTCAAGATTCTTTCGACGAGTGGGACACCGACGAGGAAGAAGAGGAAGACAGGCTTCACCCCAAGGGCGAAAGAGTGAGAGAGTGGGACAGCAGTCTCGTGTTACCATGAAGCCTCCCGATATTCTTTCTACGCAGCGCCGTGGGGCGGTTTGTAACGCTCCCACTGCTGGTCCTTGTCAAATTGGACGTGCCTCATTCTGCTTGTGTTGTGTTGGCGGTGTGTCTCAAAGGCATCTGGGCCATCGAATGATGGTGATAACGAGGGATTTTCAGATTTGTGCTGGAAAGCAGTAAGGATGCCATCACTGACGCCAATCGTCGCATTTATTCTTCTTGTTCCACCCCCGTGGCAAATGGGCTAACAGCTAACGCAGTGAAGAACGCCCCACCCCCCATTCCAATGTTCCGTCCTCTCGAGGACGCGTGGCCAATGGTCTAACCGCTAAGGCATGCAAAACATAAAGAGTACGCCCCCCCCCCCCCTCCGTCCTTTCTAACAAGCCCGAACAGCGGAAAGGCGTCGCGAAAGGGCGAAAATCCCGCAGCCATAGCAGGACTCGATACCTCAGCTCGTGCGCGGACGAGGACGACGGGGCTTCCTCCGCGGCGAGCGGCGGCGGCGGCGGCTTGAAGGCCAAGAAAAGGCAGCCCCTCGGCGGCATGCTAGGCTCCAAGCTCCTCCGCCGGTCTCAGACCACGGGAGACATGGACGCTACTCAGAAGGGTGGAGCCGCCAGGTACGGACGACGGGCCTTGTCGAGTCGCCCTCTCCCCCTTCTAGAGACGGATTTAATTACGGACGGGACGGGCCGTGATTAGTTCGTGTGTCTCTACGCCCTCTCTCGCTTCCACAGGCGGGTTTATTTATATCTTGTTTGTTGAAAGGCGAGGACGAGGGAAGACGACCGTGGTGTGCCGTCGGGGAGCGGCGGTCGACGGTTCGCAAACATAAATTACTTGCCAAGAAAAACCGCGTGTGTGTGTGTGTGTCGTACCCTTGTCCGTTTTTGGGGGGCACCCGCGCTCCTCTATACAATGCTACAATGCTCAGGGCATAACACGGGGCACACCTTCGGCGTGTTTCGGCGACGTGGTTTGTCTTTCTTGGTAGTCTTGTGTCTTAACGCCTTGATCTTCCTCCTTGCTGAGCCGATGTTTCGATCGATGCGGCGAATGTTGGTTATGGCCGTGGAGTTGTTTGAGTAAGGGAGCAGTCGGGTTGGATCGGGTGAAGAGTTTGGTTTGACTGCTGCGCGTGCAGGGAAACACCGGTGGTTGCAACTGGAGCATGTCCACTCGTGTGGCTCCCAAGGTATGATAACGGTTCTGTTGTAGAAGTATATTCTTATGTACAACGTCTGTGCTTTTTTACCATGAGAAAGGGGGAATACCTCACGAAGAGGTATGTATGCATACACAGCCTTGTCAATGATAGTCCGACACAAACGCTCTCATACCCACCACCACCACCTCGTGCTTTGCGTCTCGTGTCTTGAACGGTGTTGGCCGTTGCTAAAAAAAAACAACCGAGCAGTGGCGAAGAGCGTGTCCCCGTGGCCAAGCGGAATCGACGGGACGCGAGCGTCCAGAGACGCGAGGCGTCTATGGAGAGCCGCGGCTCCTCCCGGGGGCCTCGCAACAGGAACGATAGCAGAGGCACAAAAGCACGAGACACCTCGACGGACAGCCGCTCTTCCTTTTACAGCTACAGCAGTAATACGAGCGGCGGCGGTGGTAGGGTGGAGCGAGGTGGCAGGGGGCACCGGCGCAAGCGCAGCAGCGGGGGAAGCGGCAGCAGCAGCGTGCTGAGCGTGAGCAGCCGCGAGAGCAGCCGGAGCAGGGGCAGCGAACGGAGACGCGTTTCGCGTTTCGATCGCTGGAGGGACAAGCTGGCGGCCGGGGA